TTTTTTTTTTAATGCTAGGAGCTTTTTGGCTCTTGGATGATTATGTTAATGCTTATAAACCACCTCTTTGTTAATTCATTCTAAACATTTGCTATGGATTAATGATAAATTTACCAGTGATGGTCATATATGAATTAGACTATGTGACATTTTGTTTGAATTTTTAAAATATCATTACTATGGAAGAGTTGGAAGTTTATTTTGTTAGTCTGTATCTGTTTTTCTATAGCTCTGACTATGGGCCCAGCCTCCTCTTATTTTCTTGATATCAACAACTATTATTAAGAATAGAATACATTTTAAGGAAAGACTATTACTCATCAGCATTTAATCTATGTGGAAGCACATCTGAGATAACTGAAAATGTATAAGAATTAAAATATATATTTTGAGAAGAGTATATGTGGAAGATAGACTTCATTATTGAACTTGAATGTAATTGGAAAAGACAATGTCTAAAGACCTGTTGACTCTGAATAAATTTGGAAGTCTACATGAATTTTTGGATTACTACTGAAATTCCAATAAAATTTAGAAGTTTAATTGTGCCTTTAGAAAGAAAGCTTTTCTATGCAGGTTTAGATGGTAATAGGAATTTGGAAATAAGGCTTTGTCATTAGCTCATGTATATTAGGCAGTAGGAAGGGAGGATAAACCCATTCTTTTGGCAGTTGGTTATAGTGTTTCTTTTTTTGAAAGTCACTGTATTTAAGATTAGTATTCATACAGTCTTTTATTGAACAAAAATATGTTTCACATGTATGGTTTGCCAAGCAAGACAGATCCATTCTTTGCCTTCTGAGTTTATGATCTAGCGATGGAGACAAATCATTACACAAGAATAGAAATTTTAGACAGTAATCCGAAGGGTGGGTAGAAATTGGTGAAAGGATGCAAGTGGAGAATGGTTATGAGCTTTCATGTGGAGTACCTGAAATGTAATTTAGTATTTTCCTGGAAGATCTCGGACTGTTAATTAGCTGGGCTATTGACGTGCCATGGAATTAGATTGTGCAACATATTCTTTTTGTCTGAGAATCTGTTGTTCATTCACAAGAGAGCTCTGGCTCTGAGTTTCCTGGATGAATTCTAGGAGTACAGCTATAGCTTTTCTGGCATCTGAAAGATCATGGTTCCAAAACAATAATCAGTTAATGACATTTTCACATGTGTAGGCGTTGATAGTATACCTGTTTTAGGACTTAGTATGTTCTGCCAGTAGCACATTTTCATAATATGTGCAGGTGACATAATTTTTTTTGTATTTTTAAAAGTGAGCCCATATAGTTTAAGCCGATGTATTAAAGGAGGGTTCTATTCAGCTGTGCACTTCCAAGTATTCATAGTTAATGTGCCTTTACTTCATCTTGTTGCATCATTAGCCTCCTAAAGATGACTATTTTGGGGAAGCAGAAATAGTTCAAAGTTTGCTCTATTCCCTCTATCTGTTTTTCTCTCTCCCTCTCTTCTTCTTTTTTTTTTTTTTTTTTTGGTGTCTTTACCACAAGAATATTTTCTTGTGTCCCTTTCATTTCCTGTTTCATACCTTTTTGAGTAAAACTGTAGATTTCTAGGAAATCATGTTCTTCCTAATCAAGAGCCCCAAATTTGTATATCATCATCTATGATCCAGAAAAATAAATTATTCCTTTAGTATCTGTGTAATCACCACATCTTTCTTTATTTGTTCATATCTAGTTTCTCTCTCAAAGCTTCAAAGGAAGAATGAATGTACTATCTATGCTTCACCTTTTTGTTTATTGAGATTTTTATTCAGAAGTATGTTTTGTTCTTGTATGTCAGGCACTGTACCAATAATTTAATAGTTTGTAAGAGATAGCCCCTAATTTTATCATCTCTAGTGATTATTTTTTTTCTAGCAGTATTTTTTGGTCTTTTCATGGGTTATCAATAATAACGTTTAATTAGGGTTGGATGAATCTGGTTAGGTTCATCATTGCTTTCATCAGGAAAACACAGGAAGAAAGCATATTTCTGACAGATTATATCAGATTTATAGCTATTCAAAGAGTCATCAAATATTGATATGCTTATCAGCTATTATTTCATTCTTCAGTATTGTTAAATTCTTATAGAACTTCTAAATGTTTGTTGGAACATTAATCTGCTTCTCTAGCTTTGATTTCACTTACATGGGAACTTTATATGTGGTCTGTGGAACCAGCATTTGAAATTCCTCTTCATTTTTTTCCTTCCCATTTATTCTTTCACTCACCAATATATTGGCTTGGATTTTTATTTCCATACAGCCATTTCAGAATTTTTTTTTCCAGGTTTCTTCCTTCATCCTAATTTGGAACTCATTTTCTTAGCAAGATGCAGCCAAGGCAGAAATGTGTTGAGCCTTTTTGCCCTACTGTCAATAGAGAGTTAGTGCTGCTCACTAGATCAGGTAATGGCTAAGGAGTAGCATCCTGTCAAAAATATAGAAACATGAATGAAGGAAGCAGAAGTGAGAGATGTGTATTTATAGTGTTGGTTGGAGCCACATAAGAATAGCAGAGCAAAAAGGATTGAGGTTAGGAGTAACACATTTAAGAAACAATGACCAGCAAAGAAGAAGAAAGGTGTCATTAGGAAGTATAAACACAGAAGTACAAAGGCATGAAAAACCAATGGCAAAATATTAAGAAAAACTTGTTTGGAAATCATTAAAATGCTGTTTTAGAGGACAAGAAGAAAGACCTTTGGTTTTAATATAAACACATCATTGGAAATGGGGGGAGTTTAAGAATTTAAGCACAGTAGGGCTATTTCTGTTATCTTTTGTGTTAAAATACTCTAAAACTTAGTGAATTAAAACAGTCACCTAATTTATTGATGATTCTGCCATTTGAACCAGGTTCAGCTGGGTAGTTTTACTAGTCTTTTAGAATATTATTAAATAGCTCAGGCTTTTTTAGGGCAGCATGGATAGGAATCTAGTTAAATGTGATGATTCCTACAGTGTCTCTGAAATTTGGAATCGAAATCAATAAACACACCAGTGGTATGTTAGTAAACTGACTCTTAGGAGGGGAAAACACCTAATTTATGACATTTGCCAATATAGGTGGAGTGAATACTACCACTCTGGCTGATTTCAGGCCACTGAAGTGGAGTCACTGAACTTAAGAGTTTGGAAGAGATGCAGCCAGTCTACTCTCACCAGCTAACATGAGCCAGCCCCAGACTCCAGACACTCCTATAAAATATCACTGTCCTCATCTGTTGATCTACAAAGAATTTGAGGCAGGTTAACAAAATAAACAGTTAGTAATAGGATTAAGTAAATGGGTGAAGAATTTTACGTAAAAGAGACATGAGGACATGAAAATAAAAGTAAGAGTAAAGTTGGTGTATGTAAAAAAATGCCCATGATAAGGCTCTTAGCAGTTGCTGCAGGTGAACTAAGGAGTTACCTAAAACAAAGAAGAAACAAGCATTAATAGTGTTCACAATGTATCTTGGGTAAAAATAGATCAGCTGCTCAAGAGTAACAAAAATTTCCTAATGACAGGTCAGGGAAAAATGAGAGGGTTACTGCATCTTCAACAACATTCTTGCAAAAGTAGGATGGTAATATTTGTGTGATATTTCTTTTTAATACAAGGTGCTGACAGTGCCAAAACGATTCAGAAAAAGTAATTTTCTCAGAAAAAAAGGTAAAATTGGCAATTTGGAATCCATAATAGAAGAGGGAGTTTGTATCTTATTAGAAAGCTATGTGGGAGCCCCTGCTAGTATATGTAGGCTATTTATAAAGCCAATTCCATTTGCATCAAGAGTTTGCTGGAATGTAATAAAATATTGATAAGATTCTAAATATGGGATAATTAGGGGTTCAACTAACAGTAGCTATGGATTTGTTTATTAAAATTCATATATGAGAGTTTGTATAAAAAGGATTAGCAAGATTTAGTAATATGCTACTTGTTGAGAGCGTGTCACAATGACTACTGCAGATAATTATTGTAAGCCCAGGGAACTGATATGATGTATGAAAACCTTTCCATTGTTCTTTCTGATTTCCAGTGGTGATTCATCTTTCACTCTTGATATTGTTGGTGTTATTCTTTAACCAATCCTTGAAACATTGACTTTATGGAGAAGATTAGACGAGGTACTTATAATGATGACTAAGACATGATTCCCGTCTTCAACTTTTGGTGTCTTATGAACCTTTCTCATTCCTTTACACTCATGCTATCCTTGGTTAGCTTCATCTTCATATTTCATGTTGTTGGACCTAGTTAGCCTCTCATCTTAAACAGAGCTTTTCTCCTGTTATTTATTCCTCTTCAATGGTGATTACTCAGGCAACCCATCTTGAAGGCAGGTTAGGAAAGAAGTTAAGGTGCCCAGCAAATGCTTAGAAGTTCCAATTCTCCTCACTCCTGCTTCCGGGTTCTTCTCTTGTTGTTTCTGGGCATAGAGGTCCTGGTGGTAATTCCTCCCTGCCCGCCTTTCCCTAGAGTCCGTGCGTGTTGGTGCCTCCTACAAACGACAGAATGAAGGAAAGCCAGAAAGAGGTGAGTTTTGAGCTAGATTTTGATTGGGGATTGTAAAAGGGTGGGGGCTTGCGTTGATTGAGGTTATAGAAATGGGAAAAGTGTGTAATTGCTCCAGTAGTCTACTGTTGGAACCGGAGTTCAACAGCAGTAGACTCAGATAATAGGATTTGGGTGGATATGGGGATTGGTTGTCTGGGCCAGCCATTCCTGGTCAGCAAGTTACCTCATAGGAGGCTGAGAACTATAGAATAGACAAGTCATTGGCAGGTAGGACCTAACAACAGTAGGTTCAGGGGATTTCTTTTTACCTTTTCTGTGCTTTTTCTTCTGCCATCTATATTATCTTTTTTCTTTATCCTTTGCTTCTTGCCTGTCTATCTCTTTCATGCAATAGGTACATATGAATACATGCGGATATATGATAAACCACCTGCCCTGCCCTTCAGTGTTCCTTTGCTTCTGCGCATTGACGTTAGTTTAAATCAGCTTAAATTAAGTCATGTACAGCTAAAATCAGGAAAGATTCTAAGACTACTTGGCACCGTACTTGGCATAGCTGTAGTACTCATGTCTTGTTTGTAAAAGGTAAGAGATTGACAGCTGCTGTTGAACGATTTTTTTTCTGTCTCTAGCTGCTGTGTGCCAGAATTGAGCCTACAATTATGTCTTTAATGAGCATAGTGTGCTGTGCTGATTGGTTTAGCTCTTATTCTTTCAAGGAATTGCTTATCTGAATAGGATGGAGAGATCGTTACATCCTAAGGGTAAAAAAAATGACCTTTTCACTGAATTTTTGAGTGCCTACTCTTTTACTTAAAAGACTTGAGCTAGGTAGGTCCTGCGTGTTCAAAAATAAATAAGCTATATTTGTTCCTCTAGGAGCTTTTGGTGCAGTGGGATAGACTGACACAATATGATGTGGAATTTGCCATGTGCAATGGAGATACAGTAGGGGATGACTAAAAAACCCATGCTGTTTAATCATTTGGGAATGTAGTGATGGTATTATTTTACTTTTGATCTTTAAGGTCTACAAGAACTTTTAAACTTGCTTAGTTAGTTCGAAAGCCTCTTAATGATAGCACAAGTTAAAAGAGAAGGTTGTGTGGTTTTTAAGACTTGGAGCTTCAGAGAGGAATACTGTACCCAGAGCAGAAGTTCTGAATGAACCTCAGCACTATCAACATTTGAGGCTAGATAATTCTTTGTTGTGGAAGGCTATCCTTTGCATTTGTAAGATGTTTAGCAGCATCCCTACCCTATATTTACTATGTACCAGTGGCACTCTCCCACTTATAAAATCAAAATTATCTTTAAGCATTGCCAGTTATCCTTAGGGAGGTGTGGGGAGGGTCTTGAGAAAGCCTTTCTGGTCTGCAGGACTTTGGAAAGAGGTGTTATTCACTACTGCCCTAAGGTCCTCAGAAACCTTTGTAACTCCAGGCCCTTACTTAGCTATTTGCACCATAGCAAGAAGAGCCTGAGAGGCTTTTTTTGACTGAAGCTGGCTTTGCCTCATTTTCAGGGTTGTTTTGTCTCTGCTTTTGCTCTTGAGTGCTTTCATGGCCATAACCCACTGTCTAGTCTTGACCAGCTTCTGTGTCACTGCAAACTAGACGTCACTTTTCCTTCTTCTTCTTAATTAATTTTGTCAGTTTTCCTAGCAAGAGCCAGCGGGTATATTGTTTGTTTGACACATATAGACAATTTAATGAAACGTTTTTCTGTCACGAACAACTCACTATTATTTTTAAGATTATATTTAAACCCATTTTTGTTGTGGTTGAACTGGCTAAAGTAACATTTAAATATTTTCTGGCTAAAATTTCTATAAAAACAATGATATACATAGAGCACTATGTAGGTATCTGAAGTGACTAAAGATAAAGGTTAGTGATTTTTATCTCACATGGATTTATTTTTAACTGTTTAGCATATATTTGGGTACTCATTCTTACTGGATGCTGGATTAGTGCTCTAAATTTTGTAGTTTTTACTTTTATTTTTTAAATTGTCTAAGCATTTCAGGAATACCCACTTAATTTTCTAGATGCCTCTCTATTTGAGCTACAATTTAATTAGCTAGTTCTCCTTGGTGGTTATCTATATAATAACTACCCTTGGATTTATATTGTGATGTATTAAAAGATTTTAGGAACATAGAGGAGGAAATATTTATAATTTTAAAGGGTTTTTTGCTTTTCTTGAGGTCTTCTCAGTGGTTCTGTGTTTGCAAACTGACATTGGTGTGGCCTGGATTGCCATATATGATATCCACTGGTTCTATGTTATTTGAAATTTTTGATGGTGCCCAGCATCTAAGAGAGATAGGTGGATTTAGATATTAACTGGTTTAACTTAATATAATGAAGATTTCAGTACTAAAATAAATGTATATCTCTCTTTTAGTTTATTTAATTAGAAAAATCACTAATTGAAAACAAATGAGCTAGAAAATTGCATTTTGTATTTTTTTTTATATAGGTAAAGAGAGACCTGTTCAGTCTTTGAAAACATCAAGAGATACTTCACCCTCGAGTTCTTCAGCAGTTCCTTCATCAAAGGTTTGTCATATTTATAAAATCAGTTTAAAGAGGAATTACAAGTAAGATGGACTGTCTAGTACAGATGATTTTATTCTTTATTGTCATACCTAATCTAGGTAATTTGCTGAAATTTAAAACTTGAATTTTAAGGAACCACAACTTGAAAGTAGCTAGCAGAGTAGATGAGCAGTTTTCTTATACAAATTTTTTCACAAGTTATACTAAAATTAGTACTTACTGTTGCTCTTGCTCATCTTGACCATACAGGTGGGAATGAATATTCAGAAGGGGCATATTTGATAGAGTGTGCTTTTATTTTGGAAGGAAGTATAGGCAGAGATAGCAAACATTTATTGTATAACTACTTGATTTTAGATACTATATTAAGTATTTTTTCTCTTATTTATACGATATAAGTAGGTATATTTTACAGACAAGACTCAGAAGTTAAATAATTTTCTCAAATAAATAAATAAATAAATAATAAATTCACTGGTGAATTCTTTCAAACATTTCAAGAATACCAATACTTCTCAAACTCTTCCAAAAAATAAAAAAGGAGGGAACACTTCTAAACTCATTTTATGAGGCCAGTGGTGCCCTGTATACCAAAACCAAACAAAGATACTATAAGGAAAGAAAATTACAGGCCAATATCTCTGATGAACATATATGTAAAAATTCTCAACAAAATATTAGCAAACCAAATTCAACAGTACATTAAAAGAATCAAGTGAGTATTAGTACAGGGATGCAAGGATGGTTCATCGTCCACAAATCAATCGGCGTGATACATCACATGAACAAAGTGAAGGATAAAAATTATATGATTTTATCAATAGATGGAGAAAAAGCATTTGACAGAATTTAACATCCATTTATGATAAAAACTCTGAACAAACTGGGTATAGAGGGAATGTACCTCAACATAATATATGACGAGCCCACAGCTAACATTGTGCTCAGTAGCAAAAAGCCGAAAGCTTTTCTTCTAATGTTAGGAACAAGATTGGGGTGTCCACTCTCTCCACTTTTAATCAACATAGTGCTGAAAGTCCCAGCCAGAGCATTTATGCAAGAAAAAGAAATAAAAGGTATCCAAATCATAAAGGAAGAATGAAACTGTCTCTGTTTGCAGATGGCATGATACTGTATTTAGAAAACCGTAAAGAATCTACCAAAAAAAATGGTTAGAACTAATGCTCAAATTGAGTAAAGTTTCAGGAAACAAAATTAATATTGGAAAAGACAGTTGTGTTTCTATGTACCAATAAGAACTGTCAGAAAGAGTAATTAAGATAATTCCATTTATTATAGCATTAAAAAGATTAAAATACTTTGTAAATTTAACCAAGCATGTGAATGATCTGTATACTGAAAACTATAAGACATTGATGAAAGAAATTGAAGAGGCCATAAATAAATGTAAAGATATTTTGTGTTCATGGATTAGAAGAATTAATATTGTTAAAATATCCATACTGTCCAAAGCAATTTACAGAGTCAGTGCAATCCCTATCAAAATTCCAGTGTCGTTTTCAGAGAATTAGGGCAAGCAATCCAAAAATTCATATAGAACTAAAAATGATCCCAAACAGCCAAAATAATCTTGAGAAAAAAGAACAAAACTGGAGGTATCACACTGCCTGATTTCAAACTGCATTACAGAGCTGTAGTAATCAAAACAGTGTGGTATTGGCATAAAAACAGACACATAGATTAATGGAACAAAATAGAGACCTCAAATAAACCCATGCATATTCGGATAGATAATTTACGACGAACCAAGCATATACAATGAGGAGAGGACAGTGTTTTCAGTAAACTCTGTTGGGAAAACTGAGTAGCCAATGAAATTGGACCCCTGTTTTACACTATATGCAAAAATCAACTGAATGTGGTTTAAAAACTTGAATGTAAGACTTGAAACCATGAAGTTCTAGAAGAAAACCTAGGTGGTAAGCTCCTTGCCATTGGTCTTGGCAGTGATTTTTTAGAATTTGATACCAAAATCAACAGAAGTAAAAAATAACAAGTAGGACCACATCAAATTAAAAAGCTTCTACACTTCAAAGGAAACCATCAACAAAATGAAAAGGCAACTTACAGAATGGGAGAAAATATGTGCAAATAATTTATCTGATAAGGGGTTAATATCCAAAATATATAAAGAACTTATACAACTCAATAGCAAAACCCCCAAAAATCCTATTAAAAAGCGGTTAGGGAAACTGAATAGATATTTTTCCAAAGAAGATATACAAGTGACTGGTAGGTACATGAAAAGATTCTGCTCTTCTCTGTCTCTCTGCCTGCTCTTCTCAACATCATGAATCACCACAAATCAAAATCACAGTGAGAGGTGACGTCACACTTGCTAGAATAGCTGTCATCAAAAAGATGAGAGATGTTAAGTGTTGAGGAGGGTACGGAGAAAAGGAAACCGTGTGTACTGTTGTGGGAATGTAAATTGGCATAGCCACTATGGAAACCAGTATAGAGGTTCCACAGAAAATGAGAAAACAGAGCCATCATCTGATCCAGCAATCCCACTTCTGGGTATGTACCTAAAGGAAATGAAAACAGGATCTTGAAAAGATACCTGCACTCCTGTGTTCATTGCAGCATTATTCACAATAGCCATGACGTGGAAACAATTTTAGTGTCCTTCAACAAATGAATGGATTAAAGAAGTTGTAATGTATACACACAATGAGATATTATTCAGCTATGAGAAAGAAGGACATCCTGCCTTTTATGACAACATGAATGGACCTTGAAGGCAGTATACCAAGTGAAATAGAAAAAGTACTGTGTGATCTTACTTGTATGTGGAATCTAAAAACATAGAATTCAGAAAATAGAGGTGAAAAAAAATAGTTACCAAGGGCTGAGAGGTGAGA